GGCAATAGAGTGGATAAAGTAGTAATATAGGTTGAGTTATAGATTATTACCAAGGTATAAAATAAATGAGTCCCTACTGATACAAATTATTGAATAAATAACTAAATGGGGAAAAGGAAATTCTAAATAGATTTTGCAGCCACTGTACCCTCCAGGAGGGGAGTCCAACCCCCCATTCCTCAAGGACAACTGCCCAGAGTGCACAACAGGAAGGGAGAGCAGAACTTGTAAATGTCACCGCAGGTGGGGACCAGAACCCACCTGCGGTGAAGAGCCCGGTTAAGAGCAAGGGCCTTGCAATGGTGTGAGAAGGGCCTGCCCTTGCTGCCTCCCCCCTCCAAGCCTCAGCCCAGGTGACCATGAGACAACAGGAGACAAGTTCCAGGAGGGGCTCCTACATCATACCCAACCATCAACACAGCCAAGGGCATCAGGCAAGGGGCTCTGAGGGACCAAGGGGACCCAAGATATGCATGTCCAGTGGGGCCCTGGGGACAGAGAAGTGAGGACCACATGCCTCGTGGGGGTAGCTGGGAACATTAAAGGTCATGGGAGCTCTAGACGATTTGGCTCAGTGGATAGAGTGCTGGCCTGCGAACCAAAGGGTCCTGGGTTCGATTACGGTCAGGTCAAGGGCACATACCTTGGTTGCAGGCTCCTCCTGGCCCGGGCCACGGTCGGGGCTCGTGCTGGAGGCAACCAATCGATGTGTTTTTCACACATCGATATTTCTCTCTGTCTTTCTCTTCCACTCTCCCTTAAAAAAAAAAAAGGAAAAATATTCTCAGGTGAGGATTAATAAAAAATAATAAAAGGTCATGGGAAACATGGAAAAGCACTGGTGTGGAAAAGTAGTTAGAGTGTTTGCCTGTGCACTGAAGGGTCACAAGTTCAATTCCCGGTCAAGGGCACATACCTGGGTTGCAGGTTCGAGCCCCCACTCTAGTCTGGACTTGTGTGGGAAATGACCAATCAATGTGTCTCTCTCACACTGATGTTTCTCCCTCCCTCCTTCCCTCTCCATCTTCCCTCTCTCTAAAAAAAATCAATGGAAAAAATATTTGAACATGGGACCCGCAGGCTGACGCTTTATCCACTGAGCCAAACCAGGTAGGGCAAATTAAAACATTTCAAAAAGGTCATACGAAACATAGGGAAATCTGAGGGAAGTGTGGGCTATAGTTTTGATTGTCCCATGGGGTATGGGCGTGGGGGGGGGGGTCACATGGTCTTCTTGGTCTCTACAACTTCTTTATAAACCGCAACAATAGTTACCACCCTATCACTCCGAGCCCCCTCTCCCATCTTTTCTCCCTACCTGGCATATATTTGTCTGTCTGGAGGCTGCAACTTTGAAGTACGGACTTTGGCTGGTGGCCTGTTCTGGGCTGCAGTGGGGCTCTCAGTGCTGCTGGGAGGCTGTGGCCAGCAGGAAGGGGGGTTGCTGCCCTTTCAGGGATCCAGACCCTAGGGGTTTGCAGGGACCTTTGTTCACAGGGAATCTCACCCAAAACTCTTTATCAGAGCAAGTGTAGATAAGAACTGCTCAGAGATCCAAGATGAGGGTGTGTGTGTGTGTTTGTTTTGGGGGGGAACTGCTGGGCCAATGTGAGCACAAACAGGGGTTCCCCATGATGGCTGGCTGGTCATCCCCACCAAGAGCCCAGAGGGAGATGCCTGTGGGCTTTAGGATGGCCTATCCTGAGACAGCTGGCTTACTACCCTCGGGCCAGACCTGGAGAGTGGCCTCTGCAGGGGTGGGCAGCTGAGCTCTCCCTGCTTTAAGTACCCCCACCCCAGATCTGAACAAAGGTTCTAGGAGGTGGGGGTGGGGAGGCAGGGCTGAGAGCCAGGACAGCCTAGCGCCATCCTGTAGTGCAGCAGGCCATGGCCTGGTCAGCAATTTCCTTCCCATCCCTGGCCACACTTCCTCCCAGCACCCCTTAGGGCCATGCGAGTGGGACTTTCCTCTGCTGAGGTGGGGCTGTGGGCAGGGCCCCAGTGCTCAGCCCCCCATGTGGCAGGGGGACCCTGCCCTTGGAACCTTCGGGCAGTGGAATGAGGAGTCTCAGGCAGCGCTTTCCCCTCCATGAGGACATAGGGACCCTGCATGCACCTGCCACTGATAGTCTTCATCCATAGGTGAGCACCCATGAATACCTCAAGATGGCTCTGCCCTGCGAGCCTGAGGTCTTAGCTGGAGCCCAGAGCTGGCTCCCACCTGTCCACCCAATGAGGGGACCTGGGGGGCACAGGCCTGGTGCTGCATGCCCACCTCCCAACCTTAGCTCTTCTCCCAGGTCTCCCCTTGTCAGCTCTGTGGTGATCCCATGGGGTTGTCTTTCCAGGTCCCTCCCCAGGACACTTAATTCCCATCCTGGAGGTCCCAGTTGTATTTTGCCTAGACTTCCTGGGCAGCCAGGAACCCAAACCCCAGGCCTGGGGACCCTCTACCATAACTGCACAGCAGCTCCTATGCACACCACAGTCTACCCCAACACCCACCCCCATCCCTACCCCCAGCAGCCCAAGGAGGGTTGCAGGCCCTGACAGATTGGGTCCCAGGGAGCCTGGGATCTCAGCCAAAGCCCTCATCCTCCCAGGGCCTTCAGGGCTGGCCTCTGGACTCTGACTCACACATGTGCACACTCCCTCCACACCAGGAGGGAGAGGTGCCCTCACCGTGCTCAGCACATGCAGAGAGGTGAAGAGATACCTAGTTCTGGGGAGAGTAGGTACACCCCAGGGCTATGAGGTGCAGGTAGGAACCCGAGGGGGCAGAGACCCCATTGAGGACCCAGGAGCCCCTCTTAGGTGCAGTTGGAACTGGGAAGTGAGGGAGTTCCTCCTGAAAGGGTGGAGGTGTGGTGGGCGTGGCCTGGGGAGTAAGTCATGGTGGCACAGCCCAAACAGCTCCAGCAGCCTGGCCTTTGCCCCCTCCAGAACTCCCCATGCACTGCTGGCCCAGGTTAGAATGCAGAGCCCCTCACCCACCCCTGCAGGGTGCCCACACTCTCCACTCCTCCTAACCCCCTCACCCCCACCTCTCAAACTGCCCTGGGTAAAGCCACCGCTGCCAGCACACTGCCACCTTTCTCAACACAGAACATGGGTCACTTTTTCTCTGCACTCCCCAACCCCTGCCATGTCTACCGGGTCCCCCACAGCCCAGCACACCACAGGCCCTGAGCAGGCGCTGCTCTGTCCTGTGCAGCAGCCCTGACCACTCCTGGACCAGCTGCTGCCCCTTGCCAAGCCCTCTGCCAACTCCTGCTCACCATCGGTGCTCTGGCAAAGACAACTCATCATTTCTGTGGCATATTGGGGGCACCTTCTGGAGGACATGCGCCTGTTCTCCTCTGTTGGTCCCCCAGGCCCAGATCTGAGGACCTGGGACCCAGAAAGACTTAAGGAAAGTCCGTCCCAGGCCATGAAGAGGCTGGCTGGTGCCAGGTCAGGTGTGGAGGACAGGGAGGTGTACCCATCCTGGCTTGACTGCCCACATATAGGGGTGGGGCTCCCAGATTTCCCCCAGGCATCCACAGCCCGAGGCTCCAGCTTCTGGACACACTGCAGCTGCCTGCCGTGGGCTGGTCAGTCCCACACAGCTTAAGGGTTCCCAGCTGCTGGGGAGGTTCTGGGCGTACACCCCTTCTCTCCCTGCTGACCAGCTGGCCTGAGCAGCCTCCCCCCTCAGGTCTTGCGATCCCAGAAGACCCTGCTGGCAGGATCTACCTGAGCAGTGGGCTTGAGACAGATCCCCCAGAATGAAGGGACACCTGGCCAGGCCCAGTACCTGAGACCTCCTGGGGAATGCCATTTCAGGAGAGGCTAGACCAGGCCTGAAACCCTGGTCCAGAGGGGAGGGTGACACTGCTCAGACCCAAAGGGCACCCCACAGCTGGTCCCCTAGACAGCACCCTACCTTTTTCAGGCCAGAAAATGCAAGTCCCTCTGAGCCCTTCCACCTGCTGGCTGGTCAGATACTGGCCTCCAAGGGTGTACACCCAGCAGAATCCCTGCCCGATCCAGGGCCACCTCTCACCACCAAGCACAATGCAGGGGGGAGGGCCTTCAAGGGCCCCATTGTTCCCTCGAAGGCCCCGGGTCTGAATCCCTGATTGTCCCTACAATTGTATGGGGCCAAGAGAAGGAAGGGCCTCCCCCAGGCTGGGTGACAGTGCAATGGGAGGCAGCCAGCCTTACCTGCCCAGCACCCCTCTGTCCACTGCCCCATGTCCAGGCCCAACTCCTGCCAGGCCGCCTCTGTGCATCTGAGGGTATGGACAACGCCCAGCCTCCCCTACTTTTTCTGCCTCCTCCAGGTCTGTGTCCACTGTTTGTCTGGGTCCCACTGCAAGAATATGGCCTAGGCATGGACCACTATACCACAGGCCACCACAGCTGCCCTGACCTGAGTGGCAAGGGAGGTGTCTTCTCAGCCTCCAGGGATCCTGTAACCTCAACAGAGGTCCCCAGGTGTCCTTCCAGAGCTGAACTCTCCCAGACCATCAGGCCAACTGGGCTCAGTAGACTGAGGGAGTGAATGACACAGAGGCCTCCAGGACGCAGGGATCCAGCCCTTGTAGTCTCAGACCCCATCACCACCCCCACCTGGTTCAGGGACCAGGAGGGTAGCTGCGGCAGGATGAGCCCCGGGGCCTTCTCCTCCCAGCCTCATTGCCTTGGGGAGACAGTGGGAGAGGTGTGTACTCCCTGCCTCAGGGCAGAAAACAGCCCAGCCTTGGGGGACCCTTTAGTGCCCCTGGGCAGGGCACCCCTGCTGGTCTCCGAGGTGTGGAGCTGGGGCATGTGGAGAGCCTGGGGAAGTAGTGTGAAATCGGGGAGCAACCCCACTGGCCACTAGCCCAGAGTAGCCGATATGCGGTAGAACCTGCTGCAAGCAGCCCTCTTAGAGCTGGGTGTTTAGGAGGGGGACTGCCGGAGTGGGGGTCCAGCATGAAGGATTCTGGGCCAGGGTGGCAATCCAGGGACTCAAGGACACTCTAACCAGCAGCTCTTTATTAGGATGTGGGCCCAGATCCCACAGGAGAGTGGGACTGATCAGGGGCACCCAGAAAGAGGCTGGCAGAGCCAACCTTGTAAGGGGCACCCTGGCCACCAGGGTGGGTGCAGGGTCCTGTCCAGGGAGGACACAGCCGTTGGCATCCTCAGGAGCAGCCAGTCCCTTGGGCCTTCTTGATTTCCTGCCGGAGAAAGAGGGGCTTACCCTGGATCCCAAGTCCGCTGTCCCAAGCCCTTTCCGGCACAGAGATCTATCCCTTGCCCCTGGCAGAGCCCACCTCCGAGAGTGCCTCCTTCAGGCTCCAGTAGGCCTTGTCCAGGTTGTCGTTGACAATGATCAGGTCAAACAGACCGGGTTCCTTGCCTGAGAAGGGGGGGAGGGGGTACAGGGCCCACGGAGGATCAGTGAGGGGAGGGGGCTGTGGGTGACAGCTCTTGCCCCTGCCTCCCACCTCTAGCAGATGAGTTGCCTGCTATTGGGGAGGGTGGGGGACACTGGCTGCACCCACACTCACTGCTTTCCATGTCCGCCTGTGCAGCGGCCAACCGTTTGGCCAGGCTCTCCTCTGTCTCCGTGTTCCGCTGCCGCAACCTCTGTTCCTGAGGTGCCTAAGGAGGGTCAGAGCCTGCAGGGCAGCCTTAGCCCCTCCTCCACCCCTCCCGCGCCTGGCTCCCCACCCCCACCAGGACTTCCAGCGTGGGTGGCTGCACAAAGATGTAGATGGGCCTCAGGTCGGTCTTCTTTAAGTTCCGCACACCCTGGAGGTCCACGTCCAGCACGCAGATCCGGTTCATGGCCTGCACCACTCGTACAGCCGCTTTGCTGGGAGGCAGGAGGGGAGGGGCCATTCAGCAGGGCTCCTTGGGTCCTAGCACCCAGACCATCTCCACTGCCATTCCGTGGGGTTCTACCTCCCCCATTCCCTGCTCTGGGAGCCTGAAGAGGCCATCAGCATCTGCTCCCCTTTCCGGAAGCACGCCCTCAGTAACCCTTTCATACTGGGCCATCTGCTAGGCTGGGGGCAGCAGTGGGGGTGGGGGTGGGGGCGGGGAGGCCAGGAAGGCCCTGGCTGTCACCACTGGGCTCAGGGCTCCCAGGTGCTCCCCATCCAAGGGTAATAGCAGCCCCAGTGACCCCCGTAGGGGGTCAGCTGCACCTGGGGTGGAGCATGGCTGTCACAGGGGGACTCAGGTACAGGCTGCGCATAGCAAGCCTGGAATGCCTGTGCAATGATACTGCTCTGGATGTGTGGGAGGTGGACAGCTGTTGCTGGGCTGGGGACTCTCCCAGGCTGCCCTAATTGTTGGAGGGAAGAGGAGGGGGGCTGAAGTGCAGCCCACAGACCTCTGAGACCCAGGTCCTCTGAGTCTTCACTGCACACCAGCCCATCACTGGCTGCCCATTCCCACAGGGGCCTGTCAGGTGGGGTGGAGAGGGGACAGGAGGGGCAGCCTAGACAGCTCAGGCTTCTCTTCGATCTTGATCCCTGGAAGGGCTGGGTCCCTCACCCTGACAGCCCATAGGGAGAAGCCCTTGCCGGGGCTGCCCACTCCAGGTTCCAGGAGGTTTGGAGGTTGCTGAATGTGACTCACCTAGTCCCATACAGGTTCCCCGAGAACTCAGCATGCTCGATGAAGTCCCCGGCAGCAATGTCCCGCTGCATCACCTCCCTGGTCACAAAGTAGTAATCTACAAAGAGCAGGAGCTGTTGAAGCTGTCCACAGCCAGGCCACATCTGCTCATGCAACCACATGAGCAGAACCAGCTTCTGTTCTGGGCTATCTGCCCATCTGTCCATCCACACCTAGAGTGTTCCAGTTACTGGGCAGGGAGATATCTGAGGAACGGACAGACACCATCTCTCACACCGTCCTCACTGAAGGGACCTGGAGACTGCTGGTTTCTGGGGGGAGTTTTGGAGGGGTCCTGGTGACTACCAACTTCAGTGGAGGAGGTTGAGGAACTTTAATGCTCTGCCTCAGGAAGGTACAAACACCCTACTAAGGTTGTGATGTCAGAGAACCTAAAGGGTGCGTATGGCTGACCCCAGCTACACTGCCATGTGTAATGCAGTGCACCAGCAGGGATCAGTGCCCCGCAACTGCCTGGTGTTGGGATCAGAACCCTGCCGTGGACAGCTGATGTTAGCATGAGATTTGATGCCTATTATCCAACTAGGCCTGCCCACCCACCCACCCTGAAGGGCCCCCATCAGATGGGAAGAATGAGGCCTCATGCATCACCCTGACAAGTGTGTGTGTGGGCTCCAGACCTGTACTGGGGCACTGAGTAGCAGGGCCAGCTTACCTTTGCCATTCTCCTCTCCAGGCCTCGGGTCCCTCGTGGTGTCTAGGAACAAGCATCTGTGACCCATCTGGAACCTCACATCCAGAGCCCACACAACCCATCCCAGGGCCTTCCCAAAGGGCCCCGTTCAGCCTATGTGGGGGACTTCGGGGGGAGGGGGAGGGTCAAAGTATGGGCAAATCCCCTGTGTGAGAGAGGGTTCTTGGGGGTGTTAGCAGTGTGGGCAAGTCCCTATGTATGTGGATCAGCAGGGCCCCAAAAACCCCCTGGGACCTCACGGGACACGCTGAATCCGAAGATGCTGCCATGCTCCTGCAGAAGTCTCTTGAGCAGGGTGCTCTTTCCGGCCCCAGAAGGTCCACTCAGGACAACAGGCCGTGGTCCTGACATCCCTGTGGGTGAGTGGGAGCAGATATCAGCAGGCCTGAGGGACCCCGCCCACCCCCATTCTCCCAATCAACTCTCCTCAGGAACCAGAGCTGAGGGCCATCCTCAAGCCTTGGCTGCACCTCCCAGATGGGTGGGCTATCTGGTACCTTCCCAGCTGTGCACCCCTACCCCACCTGTGGAGCCTGGACTTCCCCTCCTGGGAGAGGCACATCTGGGTCCCCACCCGGCATTTTCTAGGCACCATGCCCTAAAGGTGGCTGAGATTAACATCAGCGGAACCAAAACCCTGTTCTGGGAACTTCCATCAGGAAGTGGGGGACTGATCCAGAGGGAATACAGCTTCCTGACCTCCCCTCCTCTCTGATACTCGACCCTCCCAGCCAACAGCACAGGGCTCAGACATCTGCCACAGATGAGTGTGGGTGAAGCAGGGGTTTAGGAGGCATCAACCCTGATAGCTCTGTGCCTGCCTGACACCTCAAGGCCCTCCCCAGAACAGGACCTACTTCCTGGGTGGGCTAGGCCATCTCTGTCAGCCAGGGTGCTCGGAATAAGCTGGGAGGAGTGGGTAATCCCAGCCTGCTCTGACCTCTTAGTTAGTACTAAACTCCTCCCAGGACAATCAGCGCTGCCCACTCGGTGCCTTTGGGAAGAGGAGGCTGCTCCCGGCCCTTCAGTAGTGGCCTACCCACCCAGCCTCGAAAGCCCAATGGCAGAATGCCAGGTGCAAGTGTGCCCTGCCTCAGAGGGAAACCCTGATGGGCATGTGGGAACTGGAACAGCTCCCTATGCAGGCCTGGCCCTGCAGGCTGTCTGGGGGGCCTCTGATAAGGTGTGGGAGCCTCCAGGGTGCAATTAGTGGCCAGCAGACTGGCAATTAGGCCCAGGAAGGAAGGGCCACTTGGCTCAGGGATGCCCTGTTGCCCATCCCCAGCAGGGCCCCCATTGGGCACTGCTTTCCTAATCCACAATGTAGGCCAAATGGGTAATCTGGTTTAAGCACTGCTATTCTGGGGCTATCACACCACACACGTTTCCTGGAGAAGGTGGCAAACAGACACAGGAGGAAGGACCCAAAGGAGCCCATCAACGCTCTGTCATCTCCAAGTGACTGACTCTTATCTCCTTGGCCTCTTGCGAGTAGGGGAGGTCGGGGGGACTTCAATGCTCTGCTTCAGGAAGGTACAAACACCCTACAAACACCATTACAAAAAGTACCGTTTCTATCTAGAGATAATCCCAGCGGACTCCTAGATCTCACTGGCATCCCAGCTTTCCGACCCAAATACGTGCCACATACACACCTGCACACACGTGCGCTGGCTCTGAGCTCGTGGCCATTAGCCAAGTGCAGCCCTGTCTCTCCCTTGAGGCCTGGTACACAGGAGGTCTCTCCCTCTCTGGCAACCTTCACAAAGCCCAGTCCTTTGCAGGAAGAATGTCCTATTGGCAGCCCAGCCTACTCCCCTGGATCTGTCCTGACTTCCTAGCAATGGGTGACTGGGGAGGGGAGTGGAGGGAGAGACCCAGTAAAGCAGTGGGGAGGCTGTGTGCCACCGGGTCCTGTGAGGGACTGAGGACTGGGGTCTGACCCCCACAATGCCAGCCTCTGGGCAGTGCTGGGTCTTTGCCTCTAGGGCTGGGCAGCTGCAGTTGTCCAGTGGCCTAGAACGATTGGACCTGTGGCTGTGTTTGGTGCTACAGGAACATCAGTTCTTCCAGGGCAGGAGCAGCCCTAAGTGGACACATGGTGATGGCCAAAGCCATGGACCAGGAGGCCTGCTGGAGCTGTGATCATAGTGGCAAGCCCTCAACTCAGTGGGCACTCATCCCTGGAACCCAATTTGGGGAGTCTAGCTCTAGGGAGAAGAGGACCCAAAGGCACCCCTACCCTCCTGTTAGGGACTTGGGAGGTGCCCCTCAGGGGGGTTGGGAGCACAGAGAAGGGAGAGAGGCCCATCTGCCTGTTTGCACAGAAGCCCCTCAGGGACGCTCTGCTTTCTGTCATGTGTCTGCCATGGGAGGGTGCCCTACCTCATACCCCCACAACTCTGGGGGGCACCCTCCAGCCCCCAACTGTAACCTCGTCAGCAAGACCCAGGGCTTTCTCCAACATGCTCCCCCAGCAGTTGCTGCATTCCCCACGCCTGCAGTAAGGCCACACCTCTTGACTGTGGGTTCTGACACCTGGAGACTGCCAACCTGCACAGGACTAGCCTTCAGGTAGGACCAAACATCACACACCAAGTCCCAGTGCTGACACCCCCACAGGGCATGTGGCACAAGTCCTGCTTATCACCTCACGTCCAAACACTGGTTCCTATCCTGCGCCCTCCACCCTGTGGTGGGACACTGGGTAGGGGAGCCTGTCCCATTGAGCAGCACTCCCAGGCTCACTACCTACCTGCACGGGGCCAGCAGTGAGCAGGGGATGTATCCACACAGGACAGGCTGGCAGCTGCAAAGCTCACTCCCTGCCTGACTCTGAATCACTGCAACCCTCAGCCTCTCCTGAGCCCCCACCTACATCAAGCCCAAGCTCCATGTGCCCCGGTGCAGCCATTACCTGCCCCACTCTGTAGTCTCATGGTGGTGGAGTCCAGCCTGCTCACCCTGGCTAAGGGCATGTGTGCTGAGTCTTACACTGAGGGGCCCACACAAACCACCAGGGATGGCCTGGCCCTGCACAAGTGCCTAGAGAGCCGCGGGGGGGAGGGCTCTGTCCAGTAAGCACGCAACAGAGCACTCAGTAAAGTCACCGTCCACAGAACACCCAGCTGGGACGGTGCTTCGGCCTTGAGTACACGGAGACTGACTTCGGCCCCAGTGCCTGCAGAACCAACCAACTGAAACGTTTAAGTCAGAGGAGTCATCTCTTGGGCATACAGCCCTCTGGCTGGGGTATTCTGTGTTCTCCATTTCTTGACTATCCCACAATCCCAAACCCTGTGGCCTGGCAAGAAACGGCAAAGCTCACAGGACTGCAATAAAAACCCAGATGCAAGCATGTGCATTCCGGAATGTTCTCCGACAGAACCCTGCCCAAGAAGCACCCAATGTAGCCAGGCAGCCCTCTTCCAGAAGCACAAGGTGGAACCTCCTCTTCCCAGCTTCCACTTTCACCCTGCTCCGTCCCAAGAGCAGGACACCGTCACCACCCCCCTCCTCCCACGCCTCCACAAGACACCCAGGAAAAGGCATGGCCTCTGAGAACAGGGAGAGGAAAGGCCAAGCAAGCCCTGCCAGCCCTCGAGTGAGCTACAAGCCACAAGGCGGGAAAGAATCTGGCTCAGGACAGCAGGTCACGGCCCACCCCCCAAAGAGACACATCCTGGCCAAGTCGCCTTGACAAACCACTCAGCCTTTGGGAACTTGGCTTGAAATGGGGTAGCCACAAAGCACCAGCCATTACTCCTCACTTCTCCCCACAGTGGGGCTGGAACTATTCCTCTCATAGAAGAAAGCTGGCCCCTCAAAAGCATGAGCAAGAGCCATACTGTCCGCGCAGGACTTGGGCCTGTATCGGTGCTGCATGGCATGTCTGGGTCTCTTTCCATAAAGGAGAAGAACCAGGATTCAGTCTTGTCCCAAATCCCAATTCTGCACCACAGACAGAGGGCAGAGGAGGCACAAGAGGGGAGGGTCCCAGGCCAGCAAGCTACAAAGCAGGAAGGGCAGAGGTACTATGGAATCATCCTTGCTCTCAGAGAAGAACTGAGACCCTCAGGTACAGAGTCAGCAGGGACTGGGGGAGACAGGCCTGGCACATGGAGGTAGCAAGGACTTGGAGCTGACTACAAAAGTACCTGCCCCCATTCCAGTGCTCCCAGGGGCTCACCCTCATTACTAACTTTCACTGTTGGTGGCTGGAGTCACCTCTTTCCACCCCAAACACGTCACAATACCCTCTTCATTTCTGCTCTTCCTCAGATCAATTGAACATTTTTTTCAGGCTATGGTGAACATGCTACAAAAAAACCTGAAATTTACAGCTTAGGTGTAAAATAAATTTTTTTGGTGTGACTGAATAGAAAAGTAGTGACTGCACTGCTATTACTCCCGGAATCTGCTACTCAAGAAAATAACTGAGCCCTGGCCAGTTTGGCTTAGTGGATAGAGCATCAGTCTGCAGACTGAAGGGTCCGGGGTTTGATTCTGGCCAAGGGCACGTGCCCAGGTTGCTGGCTAGATCCCCAGTAGGGGGCGTGTAGGAGGCAGCCAATCAATGATTCTCATCCTTGTCATTTCTGTCTCTCTCTCCCTCTCCCTTCCTCTCTGAAAGCAATAAAAAAAATATATTTTTAAAAAAAGAACAATTGTAAACCTACTTAAAAAAAAAAAAAGGAAAGGAAATAACTGATATCACCCATACCAAAGATCAAGGGCCAGGTCTAGGTGAACTCAGAATCTAAACAAAGTCCTAGCACACTACACCTGTCACAGGTGTGGCCCTGACCTGGGCATAAGCGAGTTTGGTGTTGCAGGCAGTTGTGTGGCATTCTATGAGCAGGGAGAGAGTGGAAACTCACAGCAGGAAATTAAGTTTGTTAGTGGTTAAGACAGGAAACCCCACCCCTCCCAGGTCCCTCCTAGGAGTGAAGAGAGAGGGTTTCCTGCATTCTTCACAGCAAGTCAGGGTCCGGGAGATCTCAGAGTGACAAAAAGTCCAGAAGAGCCTGCAGGCAAGCTGCCTAGGGCACTCACAAGAGGCCAAGTCCAGGTTTCTCTTTCTGTCCCTGTGGGCCCCACCCACACAGGCCAGCTGTCAGCTCAGCTCACTGCTTCCCTTTTCCCAAGTGAAAGACCACAGTAATAACATTGCTGCTCCACAAACCAGCACCTTCCCTCTCTGTTCCCAAAAGAATGTCTACGAACAGCAGATGGGCAGCTCCAGCAATCCAGACTTGAGGTCTCTGGGACTGAGAGAAGCCGAACATCCGATTACATGT